AAGCTAATGCACAGCAAACAGAATAGGACAGTCACAACACAAACAGATTTACATTTGTGGCGTACATTTAATTGTTTTTGTTTTGATCATTTAATTTTAATTAGATTTTATAATTATTATTTCTGGTTGATTTATGTTCTTTCTATCTTTCTTTTTGTCTAAATGGATGACTACACTTCCCTCACAGAGGCTGCAACTGCATTCCATTTTGTTTATAACATTCGCATGTGATTCCGTATCTGGATTTGTTCACCATTTGATGTAGATGATGTTGGTGTTGGTATTGGTGTTGGAGCTGGTTTTGGCGTTCATGCTGATGTACAGCTTACAGCTCGTCGTGGCCAATGAACTTCTTGACGTACGCCTGCAGCTCCGGCAGCGAGCGACTGCCCTCGTACTCGTTTTGACGCTTGCCGTTCTTGTAGAGGAAGAGGGTCGGATAGCCCTCGACCTGCTGGTCGACGCAGATCTCCTTGTTGTCCGGCGAGGTGCAATCGACCTTGGCAATCACAATGCCTACCGTCTCTGTGGCCAGCTGCTCCCAGGTGGGCTGCAGCTTCTGGCAATGTCCGCACCACGGCGCATAGAACTTGACGAAGGCAATGCCATCAGCGATGGCCTTCTCGAACTCCTCGCTGCCATTTAGCTGCTGCACTGTTTGCTTCTTGGCCTCATCTTGCGCTTCTTTGGTCGCATCGTCCAGGTCGTTGTTGTTGGTGCTGGGAGCACCGATCATCTTCTCCACGTAGCTCTTCAGCGTGGTCAGGTCACGGGAGCCGGCATATTTCTCAATCTTTTTGCCATCCTCGATCCAGAGAAGCGTGGGGTAGCCCTTGACCTCAAAGTCCTGGCAGATGCTGCGATATTGTGTGCAATCGATTTTCGAAATCGTTACATCCGGCTCCTTGATCAGCTCTGTGGCCAGCTCCTCCCAGGTGGGAGCCAGGCGCTGCACAGGCGAATGCAATTAATATGTGTCCAGGAGTAAAAGGCAAATGGATTCTCTTACCTGGCAATGGCTGCACCAGGGTGCAAAGAACTTGACAAAGTGATTGCCGCTGGACACATGCTTGGCAAACGTGTCCTCGGTCAGGTCAACGACCTTGCCCAAATTGGGATTCTTGTCACCGCCCTCTTGCAGCTGCTGCTCACTCAGGTCCTCCTCGGCTGGTGTATTCAGCTCCTGGTTAATGAAATCCGTAATGGCAGGCAGATCCCTCGTGCCCTTGAATTTGACGGACTCCTTTTCGCCCAGCTTGAAGAGACGCAGCGTCGGATAGCCGGTCACCTGATGGTCGGCGCACAGCGTCTGGTGCTTGGTGCAGTCCACCTTGGCAATGGTCACCTTTGGCTCATCGATGTTCATGATCTCAGCCAGCTGCTCCCACAGCGGGTGCAGACGCTTGCAATGGCCACACCTGGAAGTAAAGTTGTACAATCCATTGAGATCTCGAGTTCGAAAGTTACCCAAAGTCAATTCTTTGCCGAAATTTAATTAAAAGTATTTAAAATCCGTAATAGATCGATTTTAGCTTTGATTTTAATAGACATAATTATATTGCAAACCGACAAATCATAAAATCGTTTCGAAACACTTCTACTTACATACATATATTATCGCCTTCATTAAATTAAATTAGCTTTTGTTTAACTATTACAAGTTGTTTTTTTTTTTTTAAGATAAGAAGTGTGGAAGCTTTGTATGATTGTAGACAAAGCACACTCTATGGATTAGGGGTACAACAAAGCGGGCATCGACCAGTTTTTGAATACAAAGAGCTCATGATATGCGTCTAAATATCTGTATGTCTATATGTAAACGCAGATAACATCGCAATTGCTGTACGATTGTAAATTTTGAAATCGTATATGCGTGAGCGAATGTGTGTGTGTGTGTGTGTGAGCGCATGTGAGTGTGCGTGCTTAGTGTGTGTCAATCAAAGGCGCTTCTTGACTTTAGCCAAGCTGAAAAACTAAAATGAAAAAAACCTAAGTGAAAGCTCTTTGACCGCTCGTAGCGCCCTTATCAAAGTACGTGGTATTTGAAATTAAAAAAAAAAAAAAAGAGTTTTAATCCTCAATTCGTCACATAAAATATATAATATAAAGTGTACTTCTATGCTATCGCTAGATTTCGAGTGCGGCATTAATTAATTAAATTAAAATTAGAATAGGAGGCAATTAAAAATGAGAATGGTGGAGAGAGAGGGGTAATATGTGGGAGAAAGAGATGGAAATAAAAATAGCTTCTCATTTTTTAGAAAAATTATTCTAAACTCTAGAAGATATCGTGACACGAATAAAATTTTAATAAAAGTGTTAGAAGAAAAGAGATAGAGAGAGAGTAAGACAGATAGAAATATAATTAGGCTCTTATTTATTAGCTATTTTCATAGATCTTTGTCAAAAACATATGTGTGTAAATAATACAAGAAATAATTTCAAGTCGTGTAGCGGCAACTTATTTACTTCACTAAGTCAACACAGATGAATTTGCAAGCGTGTGTGCGTGCATCCATATGTGTCAACAAGCAAATGTGTTTTTTGTTTTTGTTTTTTTTTTTCTATGTTTTCATACGCATGTATGTATGTACGTTTCTTTAAGATTGCGTGGCTTTGCCTGCATGCGTGTGCGTGTGCTTGGTTCACTGCAATTCCATGAAATCTTGCCGAGTTTGCATATTGCTCGATGAGCCAGTCGCGGTTTTTTTCTTTTCCTTTTAAAATTCATTGCTTACCATGGCGCAAAAAATTTCACAAAGACATTGCCGGCTCCGATTGCCTCGTCGAATGTTTCCGGATCGAGTTCAACGGCGAATTGTTTCTCATCGGCCGGCTTTGCTGATTCGTCCGTTGATGCGGTTGCCAAAAATGGCCTGAAGGTGAGCGCACAAATGGCCAGCGGTATAATTGATTTAAACAACATTGTGGAGTGTAGAAAATGTTTGTCTGTCGTCTTTGCACTTATTAAATACACTACACCAAATATTGGTCGTCTGCGGCAGTGTGACCAGCTTCAGTTGGTACAAGTTTCTAAATTAGCTTGCCGCCTACACAAAATGGACGAATTGCTCCGACTGATATCGATAACTAGGAAAATATATTCGATAAGAACAGAAGTTTAAAAATATATTTAGGAATTCATTTATTCTGTTTTTAAATATGTAATGCCCAACATAAACATTAAAATCCGTTTCATTTATATAATCACATTTAGGAATAGTGTATAATATGTGTATTTACTTTGTTTTTAAATATTCTTTTTTTTTTTAATTTCAGAATATTAAGAAAGACCGAAAATTTAAGAAATATATATATTTAGCACATTCATTAAAAAACATAAAAAATATATTTAAGATTAAAAAAAAAACAAAAAAAAAAAAAACAGCTTGTTACATGTCACATGTTTTTAAAACATCTTTTAAGAAATATATATATTTACCTAAACAATACATACATATGTATATAGATTTCTTACAAATTATTTATAATTTGCAATTTTTTCTCTGGATTTTTTTTTTTATATATATGGGTTCTGCATACGATTCTATTTGTATATATATTTATATATTTGATGGATCAATCTTTTAGTTCTGGGAATCATCAGCCGAATGTCGCTCAGTTTGAGGAGTCGAACGATAGCGGGAATCAAATGGGGAGGCATAGATAAAAACAGTCTTCAGAGTATTTGTACCATTTAAAGCGAATGGCACTTGTTTAACTTGTTTACAACAAAAAGCAGAAAATAATATACTATTAACAATTAAACAGGATACTAATTTTTTTTTTTTTGCTTAAAATCGATTGCAATTTCATCCTTCTTGTTTTGTGGTTTGTTTTTTGATTCTCTTTCAATGCTAAGCATTTAGTATTTGATTTTTAATAACTAAGGGCTCTCAGTAGCTGGAGGCGCCAATCATTTTGCGTATCTGTTCGAAGGACAGCCAGAAGGTTAGTGACCAGGGCGCCATGCGTATCCAGCAGGGCAGGAATCCCTTGTATAGAGCAACGAAACCCTCCTTGCCAACCGTCTGACGCAGGCAATCCACCGAGCCGCGATAGAGCAAGCCGCTGCAAAATGATATATGGTTAAGAATGGGAATCGAAGACATTTTTATCTATGCTTACCGTCCCAGCTCGTCGGTGGGCTGGTTCATGATGCGCGTCTTCACCACATCCGCCGGAGTGCCCATGATGGCAGCCACGAAGCCGGCGCAAATGGAGGCGAGCACATGGACCGTATGGCAGTCGGGCATGTGCAGGCGACGCATGATCAGATGCTTGATCGTGTCGTATGTGGTCAGATCACCCAAATTGACTAGCGCCGCACGCTGCACATTCGGTATGCTGCCCTTCCACAAGCCCTTGATGCCGCCGCGCTGCACAATCTTGCGGAACGCATGCGCGGCACCATGCACACGCGGCGCCTCGCCCATCAGTCGCCGCTTGCCCTCCATTTGGATTTGAACCTTGACCAGGTCCGCGGGCGACGCCAGCCACTGAGCCACAGCGCCGGCTGTGACACCGCAGAGAGCCGACTTCCAAACGGGCAGCGCCTGGGTGCCATTCTCGGTTAGCTCCTTGCGCATCAGATCATAGCTGCAGATGCGCACACCACTGTCAATGGAGGAGGACGAGATTAGTTCAAGCTAGCTGCAACTGGCACTATGGAGCGAATTTGTCGTTTTGGAATGCTTGAGGCAATCGCATCGGATGCTACTTAAAGAGTGGCACAGATCATTTGAATTTCAATAATAGTACTTGGTTTGTAGCTGGTTGGTTCAATTGATTGTTTGAGCAATCGATTGATTGATTGATTGAATGCCCACCTATAGACGACGTGTCGGTAGAGCGCCGGCGTCACGCCCTGCCACAACTTGAGGGCGCCCTCCTCGCGTACAATGCCAAAGGCCGTGGCGACCATGCCGCGATATTGCATCTGGTAATGGGGGGTTGTGGTTCAGTTACATAACATATATATATGTGCAGCTCATATTGTGTATATACATACATATACATATACCTATCCTATACATACACACACACGCATACATACAGGCACATGTACATGTATAGAACGTGGTATCAAGCTTTTGTTTTGTTTTGGTTTTCTTTTTTTTATCATTTTACGTTCCACATTTAACAAACGCACAGAGAAATGGATTTATGGATATTGGGCAGCTAGTGGGGTAGGTAGGTGGGTGGGCAGTGTTGGTCGATTGGATTTATAACAGTCAACTAGTCTGAAGCTCTCTATAAAACCTTATCTCACGCCCAGATGGACGCTCCCCCCAAAAATAAGAAAAGAAATGATGACAAACTGAAATGCCAGCACCACATTTATCTTATCAGCATGTTGATAAGACGCATGACTGACCAAAAATAAGAACTAAAAAAAAAAATTAATAAAATGAAGTAAAAAACAATAAATAAATAAATAAGCTAAAGTTAAGTTCGGCACGCCGAAGCGCTTATCATGGATTTGAGTATCGATAAGTTATCCTCGCAGGCTGCGCAAGGCTACGAGTTGTGGACGTTTGTCAACACTGGCAAGCGGATGGACGGATGTCGTTCGATTTGGGTTAACGGTCCTGCAAGGGTAACAGTTATTAGCAAAATCCAGGATCAAAAAGATAGCATGCATGAGAGACCAACACAATAACAAACACCAAAATACCAAAAGTATGCAACAAAAAAAATATACCTAAATATGTGCAAAGTACTCACATTGGCTTTGGCGCCGCCGGTGACGCTACTGGTGGCGTTAGCGGTACTGGCAATGGCGGCCACACTGGCCGCTTCGCCTTGGATTTGCAGGCGGGTCTTTGTGAGATCCAGCGGATATGTGGCCAGCTCGGCTACGGAGGCGGCCACCACCGAAACGACATATGTGCAGGCAAACGAGTCCGCATAATCGTACTTAACGGGTCGCAGCTGATGGCGTCCACTACTGCTGACGGTGTTGTTTACCGTTGCCGTCGTAGCTGAGGCCGTTGCAGTTGGCGCTGCGGCGTTGGTGCTGGCCTCTGCGCTGGGCACATTGGTCGTGGTTATGGCAGCGGCACTTACTGCAATCGTCTGTGGCGCTGGCATCTCTTCGCTGCAATTGCATTTATTTATTAACAAATCCAATTCAAAATATTGTTCAACTAGATAGTTTTGTTGGCTGTTTAAAAATAAACTGTGCAAGCGGCGCTGCTGCTGTTGTTACTGCTGCTGCAACTGCGGCTCAAGCCAATAATTGAAAGCGCAAAGATCGCGTGACTTGTTAAGCAATGCAGAGGCTGCTTTGATTTACAGTTCAACTTTTTTCAAGGATGATGCTGTGCGCACAATTGGCTCTTGTATATTTTTACATAACAACGACAACAGCAGCCGCAGCAGCAACAACAAAAACAAGCAGCGGCAACTGCTGCCAACGACGTCAATGTGCGAAGAAACAAAAACAACACAGAAAAGTCGAAAACCAAAATTAGTTTTTGTTGTGTTTGTTATGCTCGCCTTGTTATTCCCGCAGCCCCGCGTATATCGGCGTCTTGTCTTCAATTAAACGCACGCCCTGGCCGCGTACGCATTGCAGAATTGATTTGTATTTTTGAAACTGATATTGCTTGTCAGGGTGTGTATTTTTTCTGCTTTACGGCTTTATGAGTGCTTATCAATTGTGCATCAATAAAACAAAAAAATATATATGTGTTGCACAAAAACAAAAACAAACCCAAAACTGAACGCAGTGCTGTAAAACGGCCTGACTGCGTAGGATAAGTGTTGTATACGAAATAAAAAGCTCAAACTAATTAAAAAATAGGCACAATTAATAAATTTTCAGGTAGCTTCATTTTGTAAAAATTTGTAAAAATACTTAATATGCATTTTATTTTTTGTCTCATCGAGGTGATGATGCATTTTCTAATTGCATTATTTATTTTACAGGCAGAATTTTGAAAATCGAGTTAACAGTGCATGTACCGCAGTTTGCGATATATCGCTTAATATCGATAACGATTGCCGCACAGCGAACAGCTGTTTATGGCTTAATTGCTGTTCAAAAACGGGCTCTGCTGTTGCTTGTGTTGCTTTATTTACTATGCGCATTGCGTACATTATTACGCTGATTACTTCATAGCGCAGCTTAGTAACTAACGCAGCAATCAAACTATATTTGCAATTACCAAATCGAATACCAATTGCAACATCCAATTGCTAAAGCCAGCAACAACAGTATATACAAAACAAGAAGAGAACTCGTTAAATGTAAGTAACAATATGGTATGAATCAAAAGCTAATAAGTAATCTATTCATATGTGTGTGTGTGTGTGTGTGTGTGTGTGTGTATGTATTTATGACGTAGCATGAGCAAGACAGAGACAGCCGCACCCAAAGTGGAGTCGAGCGCACGCCAGAAACTGGAAACGTATCGAGTCTATGTGATCACCTGGAATGTTGGTAGCCGATTCCCGGACAACATTTCGCTGCGTCAGCTGCTGGGCCTGCAAGGCGAGGCCAGCGGCGATGCGGCACAGGAATTGCCCGACATCTATGCAATTGGATTGCAGGAGGTGAACGCACAGCCACAGCATCAGGTGCTAGGCCTCTTCAAAGAGGATCCATGGACGCACAAGGCGAAGCAGCTGTTGCGCGGCTACAACTATGTCGCCGTCAAGACAGAGCAGATGCAGGGCCTGCTGTTGACCATGTTTGTCCGCCGGCCGCATGTTGAGCACCTGAAGGACATAGAGGCGGAGTTTACGCGCACTGGCTTTGGCGGCATCTGGGGCAACAAGGGAGCAGTGAGTGTGCGATTCACGCTCTACGGCTGTGGTCTGGTGTTTGTGGTGGCCCACTTGGCTGCGCACGATCACCAGCTGGACGAGCGCATCGAGGACTACAAGCAGATTCTTGAGAGCCATCACTACCATGTGAAGCGTTATCGTGAGATCTACGATCACGACTACGTCTTCTGGTTCGGTGATCTCAACTTTCGGCTGGAGGGGAACGACAGCGCCACCGAGGTGCGCGACGCCCTTGGCGACGACACCAAGCACGAGGAGCTGCTGCAGCGAGATCAACTGTATCAGGTGCGTGAGCGTACGCAAAAGGCATTTCAGGTGCTGCACGAGCGCCTGCCCGCCTTTCCGCCCACATTCAAGTTCAAGGAAGGCACCTCCGAATACGATATGAAGCGCCGGCCCGCATGGACAGATCGCATCATGTACGCCGTGCAGCCGCTCAACCGGCAGCCTGGCATGCAGCTGGCCATTGAGCAGTGCTCCTACAAATCCCACCCCGCCTACAACATCAGCGACCATAAGCCGGTCACCAGCGACTTCACGATCAAGCTGTATCCCAACTATCGTGCACCGGGCATTACATTTAGTCCTGTCTCTGTGTGGAAGATTGGCGACGAGAATACCGTTGAGTACCGCAAGCACGCGGAATTCGAGGAGGGGCCCAACGATTGGATCGCCATCTATGGCATCGACTATGCCAGCCTGGCGGACTATGTGGCCTACGAGTATGTCAACCAGGCTGAGTCGCCCACTTCCTCGGACTCGAATCACGAGAGGGACTACTTTGAGATGCCAGCGCCGACCCCGCATCGTTCCCACCATCATCATCGCAACCGGCAGCGCTTGCGCCGCCAGCAGGAGGCCAACGAGGAGCTGGTCCGCCTTGACTTCGCCGACGACGTCGACTTGCGCCACGGCGAACAATATGTGCTGATCTACTTCCGCAGCACCGGACTGCGCGGCGTCACCAGCATCGCGCACATCTCCGGCCCCTTTGTGGCCGAGAAGCGCAGCGGATCGCCGCATCGCACCGAGTACCATGTCGACTAGCTAGCGGAGGCCCTCGACATCTATATACTTTAGTCGCAAGATCAAGCACTTAACTCTTATGCCTTAATTTGTTAAACCTTATTCTATCTTATATATACGTATATATATACATATGTATGTGTACATCATTTGCAATATGATTCATGTGAATGCATTTCTTTTTAACGATCTGTAATTGTCTTCGATCTATGTAAACCTATACATATATAACCATCCATGCTTATACATTTCATTACACGCTACGTGATTTGTATATATTTTATTTATTA